GTTCAGTAATAAGTTGTGTCAAATTTATGCCATTAAACAAGTTCTGTTCACCAAATGTGGAAGAGTCAGGCCAGTTAATATTAAAATCACCCATAAGGACCAGCTCACAATTACTCATCAGGGAGGATACAGTAGACAGAATATTATTAACAGATTCAGATTTGGGAGAATTTGGAGGTCTATATATATTTCCCACAATCATATGTTTGTTATCATGGAGAAAAATCTTGATAAATAGAGCTTCGAAGTGCACAGGAGAGTCAACAGAAACAAGTTGTGACTTAAGATGAGAAGAAACATATGTTGCAACACCACCACCTCTAGACCCTCTGTCAGTTCTATACAGTTTGTAGTTATCTAGCCTAATGTCGTCGTCAGAAATATTCTTAGAAAGCCAAGTCTCTGAGAGTGTGATAATACAAGGGCTGTTGTATGCAAGCCATGCTCTCAGGAGATCAATTTTAGGAAAGAGACTTCTGATATTCAGATGAACTATAAAGAGACCTTTACCCATATGGGGTATTCCGAAGATAAGTTAACCATGGTCCGTTTGGGGTAGAAAGGGGACGTGATGGAGAATAGAGTGACAAGAGAGCCTGTAAACATACATATAAACATACACATAAGAGCACACACACACATACACACACACATATAAAAGAAGCATCACAAAAACCGAAGTGTCTCAGTCTGCTGTTTAGTTAACAAAAGGACTATATTTAAGTTGCAATAGTCATAATTGTAACATAGTACAGGGCAATATAAAATAAATACATTATATGTATTACAAATGTAATAATAGTAATAGCAATCAAACAATCAAACTAATACTTGTCCTTTGTAGGTTGGAACATGAAGCCCTACTAAAAAAGAAAATAATAATAAATAAAGACGCGCGTCTCAATTTACAGTCTAGTTACGTCATGCCGGAAAGCACCTTCATTTACGGCAAACAAAACGGAGTGATCACATACTGGCAAAAAGTCAAGACTTTAGAATACCCAGTGCTTCCACTTCATCAGGAGATTTACACAGAACTGATTTACCGTCAACGTGGACTTTGAGCACTGCTGGGTAAAGCATCGCGTAACGAATGTCCAAGTCCCGGAGCTTTTTCTTCACGGAGTCGAATAAGCGGCGTTTCTGCAAAAGTCCGGCACTGAAGTCCGGGTAGATGTGGATCCTGGAGCCTCTGAAGACCAGTTGTTGCTTCTCCCGGGAGAGTCGGAGGATCTTTATTTTATCCTGGAAACGGAGAAACCTCACAAGTATGGGTCTCGGGCCAGCCTTCGGATCCTGCTTCGGTGGACCTCCTGGAGTACGGTGGGCCCGTTCAATCGATGGTGGTGATGGAAAGTTGGAACTGCCCAGGAGTTGGATGATGAATGATTCCACGAAGCCCAGCATATCATGGCCTTCAACTCCCTCGGGGACATGAAGAAAGCGGAGGTTGGAAGCACGACTCCGGTTCTCAGCGTCCTCGGCTCTGTCCAACAGGTACGTGTTTTGTTGCTCGAGCGTCAGAACACGTTTCTCCAGGTCAGTGAGATTATCCTGGTTAGAGCTAACCCTGGTTTCGAGGTCCTCAACTTGATCCCCAATGGACTTAATTGAGGATTTTAGAGAGTCAACAGTATCCTGTAAATTTCCAAGTTTGGGGTCAAAGTACGTGATCATCTCTAGTTTGAGCTGTTGAAGAGCGCTCAAAATGAACGTGTTAGTGGCCGTTTGGTCCATACTGGTGAACACGTGCAAAGGACAGGACCAGAGAGGATATATCAAACTTAGCAGCTTGTGAGTCAGTAAATCAATAGATCCAGTAGTGCCACAAAGCAGGAATCGTATTTTAGAGACGTGGGTCAAAAGTGAAAAGGATTTAGGGCATAGTAGTGACCAATACAGACACAGACTCAGGGAGCTCACTCAGACACCTCTGCTGCGTCAGCCATCTTGATTCTACTTCTAAATTTGAAATCACAATTGCTTTTGAGGGGCAAAGATCTACGTGTTATTATGGCGAACTGTAACAATAACACATATTTTTAAGGGACCAAAAAAAAGATCGCTCAATTTCGTAAATGAAGCCATTAGGAACCATTTTATTTAAAAATAACGAAATACAAGTGTATATTTCTCGCTCAAAATTGTGAAATAAGTTGACTTTAGTCTCTAAATAATGCTATAAACCGCAGTTTTGGACTATAATTGTCATGGTGTGGGTTTTATTTTTGTATTTTAGTTTTATTTTGACATTGTTCTCTGTGGTTTGGTTTTAGTTGTACTTCCTGTCCTGTTTGCCCCTGTCTTGATTGTCTGCCCCGCCCTGATGTGTTTCACCTGTGTCTCTCTGTGTCTATATGTACCCTGTGCTTCTCTCCCCTTGTTGCTAGTCCATTGTATTGTCAACCTTCGTCTTGTCCTTGTCTGTTCCGGTTTCCTTGATTCTTTTTGAGCCTTTGGACTTTTATTTTATTATCATTAAATTATATTTTTTGGCATTCCTGCATTTTGGGTCCTTCCTGCATTTCCACCACGTGACAGAATGGACTAGCCATCACACGGACTCAGCGGAATGCCTGTTTTATTTTTTCACCACACCGGCTCCCTGTTTGTCACCAGGTTTTTATTTATTTTTTGCGGATATCCTTCCCTTCACTGCTACCTCTCAACCTGCTACCTTAAACCACCGCCAGGCAAGGAACCCCGCCTGGGGTGGTTATTTGTCCTGCACCACCGCCGGGCATTATTGTCCGTCCGAGGTGGTCTTCTGTTCCCTTCCCCTTGGCTTGTTGTGGGGTCAACAGTGAAGCTCTCGTCTGGATGTTCCCGTCTGCCTGGATTCCCCACCAGTGTCTGCCTGCTCCCCTTTGATGACCTCTCCTTCCCTTTACCTGTTTCCACCGCCAGACATTGTTCTCCGTCTGGGGTGGTTTTGTTCCCGTCTGTGTCACCGCTGGGCATTTGTCTCCGCCCGGGGTGAGCCAGTTCCGTATGGAAGGTAATCACTGGGCTTCAGCTCCGGTCCCAGATTGGTTTGGACATTGCTTCGGACATGAGGTTTTCAGCCTCTGAACTGCCTTTGGTCCCTCCGCCGTGCCCCCTCCACCCTCCCTGGTGTGTGTTTGGTTTTTTGGGACATCTGGAGCGTCCCTTGGAGGGGGGGTACTGTCATGGTGTGGGTTTTATTTTTGTATTTTAGTTTTATTTTGACATTGTTCTCTGTGGTTTGGTTTTAGTTGTACTTCCTGTCCTGTTTGCCCCTGTCTTGATTGTCTGCCCCGCCCTGATGTGTTTCACCTGTGTCTCTCTGTGTCTATATGTACCCTGTGCTTCTCTCCCCTTGTTGCTAGTCCATTGTATTGTCAACCTTCGTCTTGTCCTTGTCTGTTCCGGTTTCCTTGATTCTTTTTGAGCCTTTGGATTTTGAGTTTTACCTGGACTTTTATTTTATTATCATTAAATAATAATTTTTGGCATTCCTGCATTTTGGGTCCTTCCTGCATTTCCACCACGTGACAATAATTATGAGAAATGTCGGCCATTTTTATTTCCTCCCTCGCAGGAAACGGTGTGGTCACGTGACTCCCGTAGAATAACATTGCAATAAAATATGTAAGAGTGCCACAGTTTCAGAGCCCAAACTGTGGTATTCTCACAGTTTAACAGGTGGACCAATGTGACTATTACAGTTTTCTGAGAGAGTGGGTTGGAGTATGCATGGGATGGGGGTACAGGGGATGTGGCAGTCAAATATGGGGGATAGGATGTCAGTGACCTTCTCCGAGAAGTTGTGAACGTGGGTGCAGTGCCAGAAGGCGTGGATGTATGTGTCCAGAGTGTTTTGTGTGCAGTTAGTACAGTTAGCTGAGGTGAATCCCATTTTTGATAGTCTGTGCCCAGTGTAGTGTGTTCTATGAATAATTTTGTATTGAATGAGTTGTAGATTGGAGTTATTTGTCATGGAGTACATATTGTGGCAGATTTGTGTCCAGAAGGCGGGATCGGGAGGAACCGTAAGGTCCTTTTGCCATTTGTCAATTGGGATGGGGCAGGTTGTGTCAGATTTTGTGATAATTTGGTAGGTTTTGGAGAGACGTTTTATTGGTTTTAGGTTGAGGAGAGTGGTACATACTGTTCAGTCAGCTCGCTCAGACCGCTAATGTCCCCATGACCACTTTGCGGCTCTCTGATTGGTCGCTGCACGAGCGTCCCGGGGACTTTGCATTGAAAGTTGACGCAACGCATGATCCGGTGTGAAAGCACCATAAAGAATGCCTGAACTATGTGTTTGTGTGTGCCATTTTGTCCAGGTTCAACTGAAGTTTAAAATCAGCATTTACAATATGAAAATATATGTAGTTTCAGCACCTTCAGACTTACAACGACGGGATTTTGCAAATGGCGGACCCCAAACAAGAGGGTTTTTTAGCCCCTGAGACCAAACGAAGCTGAGTTGGGAGGTGGCCCTATCAACTTGTTATGGCCCAAAGTAGAAAATATCATAAAATCATAGTTCGAAAAACACAGCAAAACGTATTACGTAGAGGGGGTCTGGCTCCCGGTCTAGTAGTTTAGCCTCTGAGTAGTCTCCAATCTACGTGAATGGAAATAATGCAATACTGTGGATTTATCCAGGCAAAATATTTGGATGGAACTTGCATGAATTGCAATGTGTTGACCATTTAATTAGTTCATGATATTTTCTGAATAGTTACACTTCAATAGAGGTGGCCCAGTGGATAAATTAGAACAGACAATAAAATAGCCTAAAAAAAATAGAAACACAGTTTATCACTTTACAATATCAAGGGCATCAAATATGTCAACAAAGCTGCCTATCAGAGGGGCAGAGGCGTAAGTGCGTGCTCACCAAAGAGGCCACAGAGGTGTCTGTGCGGCCCCACTCCACGCCTAGCAGCCCGACTTCACACTCTACCATTCACACATATCAGCATTTGCCTTTGTGGAGCAGAGTACACACAAACAGTTCCGTCCGTCCCATGAGCCCTAAACCAAACAGCCCAGTACGTCCCAAAGCTTCCCCTCCGGCCTTCAGTTTGGATGGCCTGTTAGACGTTCCTGACAGGCCCAAAAGCGTGAAGCCGTGCAGCCCTGTGGCAGCCCACCCTGGAGGGTCCCGCACGGAGAGCGAGTCCCACATCAGCCTGTGCGTGCTGGGATCCACCTGGCAGCAAGAGGTGAGAGCATCATACATTGGTTGGATAGGTGGTCGATTTAGCTGCAAATATGATTATGGATCGAATTATGGATTTAGGTTGAGTTTATGTTTGGGTCACTCACCGTTGATGTTCAGAATTCTTTGTTCAGTTTTGATGCAGTTCGAGAGAGTTATAGTTTGGAAGTTGCTAGCCTAATTGTTACTCGCATAGCCACGGGAAAACCTTTGGGAAAATTTTTATTTGCAATCTTTAACTCATTGAGTGCCACAAAGGGTAATTTTACGGAAAGGCTTTTTTTTCTACATTTTGAAAGTAGGGGGCGACAGTAGCTCAGTTGGTAGAGCATTGGCCTTAAGGCCTGAAGGGTGTGGGTTCAATTCCCACCTCTGCACCTTCTCCATCAACTCCCACTGATGACTGCTGTCGTTGTGTCCTTGGGCAAGACACTTAACCCCACTTTGCCCAAAGCCCCCACTGAAAGATCAAGGCTATGCTCACACTCAGAGAGCAGTCGTCCTCCTGTGGACTCACCACCTGCAGAGGGTCAGTGAGGGGCTGGTGCTATGAGACTTGGGTGGCATCTCTGATTGCCACCCCCCTGACCCAGAAATGGATTAAAGGGTAGAAAATGGATGGATGGATGGATGGATTTTGAAAGTAGACATCCTGATACACATTGTGTGTAAATTTGGGAATTTATGATACATTTATGATAGCATTTATCATAGCACAAACAGTGCCGTCCGTCCCATGAGCCCTGATAAATTTAACTGCTTATATGGCAATCTAAAACTCATTTTAGTGTGTGGATTTGTGATGTGAACACATTGTGCAACACATAAAATAATCCGTGGAAAACGTGAGCTTTGACTACAATTTCTTAAACAAGGCAAATTATACAAAGCAAAAATTACCCAAATATTTGGGTAAGTTTATAAAGCTTGTGTGTAAGCATTCGATCTTCATAAGTAGCATAAGTTGCGTGTAGCACTGTAGTCAGTCGGTTGAGTTTACATCTAAAACCACAAGATAATGAATGCATTGCTTTTTTGTTACATGAAATAATATTTACCTTACCTTCAAAATGTCTGAAATTGGTGATTTTTGTAGCGATTAAAAAATCAATGGGCTGGAAAAAAGGGAGACAGATCGCTCTCGTAACAGGTAATCTAATAGGAGAGCGTGATTTCATGCCCACTTTTTTGAGAAGACTACCCACAATGCCGTGCGGTCGAGCCGAAAGCTCGGAACTCTTGATCCCTGTATAGAGGGGACAGGGAGAGGGGCTAGGTGGCGGACCGGTGAGTAAGAAACAAAACCCATAAGTACCAAGTGTATCATTTACCACACCATGCTTTAAAACATTCAGAATCAGAATCATTTTTATTGCCACGTAAGTAACAGGAGGTCACAGACTTGGAAATTGCTTTGGCTCGGTGCAACACTCAGAAAGAGAGAATACAAAATAAAGAATAATAAATAACCCTTCTAAGGAATACATTTTAAATTTAAATTGAAATAGAGTTACAATTACTATATACAATACAGTGCACATGGTGCACACAATGTAAGGTGACAGCAGTACAGTGAAGTAAAGTGACGTATGATGGGCAGTAAAGTGACTTTATAAAGGGCGGGGAGGTTAACAAGTGTTCAAGAGTCCAACAGCAGAGGGGAAGAAACTGTTCTTGTGGCGGGAGGTTCTAGTCCTGATGGACCGCAGTCTCCTGCCTGAGGGGAGTGGTTGGAATAGTCCATGTGCAGAGAGAGAGGGGTCGGCTGTGATACGACCAGCCCGGCCTCGAGCTCGGGCGACGTACAGGTCCTGCAGCGATGGAAGGCTGCGGCCGATCACTTCCTCTGCAGAGCGCACAATGCGCTGTAGTCTCTGTTTGTCCCTGACTGTGGCTCCAGCGAACCACACGTTGATGGAGGAGGTGAGGATGGACTCGATGATGGCCGTGTAGAACTGCACCAACATCTGTGCAGGCAGCTTGGCTTTCCTGAGCTGCCGCAGGAAGTACATCCTCTGCTGGGCCTTCTTGATGAGGGAGCTGATGGTCGGCTCCCACTTGAGGTCCTGGGTGATGGTGGTGCCCAGGAAACGGAAGGACTCCACAGAGGTGATGGGGGAGTCCATCACGGAGGGTGGGGGCGGGGGGACAGTGCTCTTCCTGAAGTCCACAATCATCTCCACTGTCTTCTGGGCATTCAGCTCCAGGTTGTTACCACTGCACCAGGACACCAGCCGGTCCACCTCCCTCCTGTAGGCGGACTCATCGTTGTTGGAGATGAGTCCAATGAGGGTGGTGTCGTCCGCGAACTTGATCAGCTTCACGGAGTCGTGGCTGGAGGTGCAGTGGTTGGTGTACAGGGAGAAGAGCAGGGGAGAAAGAACACAGCCCTGTGGGGCACCTGTATTTGTAATCCGAGAGTCCAAGACATTCTTCCCCAGACGTACTCGCTGCTTCCTGTCTGCCAGGAAGTCAGTGATCCACCTGCAGGTGGAATCGGGCACGTTGAGCTGTACACGTTGAGCTGTACACAGTACTGGCTCTGCATGTGAGCGGGGAGCCTCGCGCGCACGTCCACGCATGGCGGTATGTAAACAGAGGCAAGAATGAATGAAAGAAACTTGCGAGGGGAGTAGTATGGCTTACAATGAATGAAAAGATATTCCAGAGCAGGAGAACAGTGCGTGGAGATCACTGTCACATCGTTACACCAGTTTGTATTTACGTAGAAGCAGAGTCCTCCACCTCTGATCTTCCCTGAGAGCGAACAATGGCGAAACAGCTCAAAGCCCTGCAGCACAAGAGCACTGTCTGGGATCCGTTCATTTAGCCAGGTCTCAGTGAAGCAGAGGACACAGGATGAGGCGAAGTCCTTGTTTCTTCTCATCAGCAGGCTGAGTTCGTTCATCTTATTGCCCAGAGAGCGAACGTTGGAGAGGAAAATGCCGGGTAGAGACGTGCGTGTTCCTCTCCGCCTCAGACGCACAAGCACCCCGCTGCGTTTCCTATTCTTACGGGTCCTCACTTTTTTGGCTAAAACATGAATTAAATCAGCCGCAGATGCCAAGAAAACAGGCAGTAGGTCCATGGGAACGGTGGGTCGGATGTTCATAAGTTCCACACGGGTGTAGGAGCGGCTGATATAATTCATCAGCCTTAACGAAACTAGCTTCGGTTTTCCTGTGGTACGCACGGAAGATAAACTGCACGTGTATGAAAGTCCGTCCCCCAATCGGATCTTTGAGCGGTGCCCCATGAGCCAGACACAGCCAATTGTAAAGTTTGTTACTCACGCGGGGAGTCAGACAAAGATCGTCAGATGGTAGGATCTCTCACTCACTATGCTGTACTATAATATATATAGTACAATACATTAATAAATACAGTAAAATGATATTATGTGTATATAATGTATTTATATAGATAATTTAGATGTTTTATTTATTTTTTTGTCTTAGTTTCTTTTGTTTTACATATTTTACAGCTGTGATACAGAAGCAACCCCGGCCTTATAGACAAACTGCTTCAGGAAGGAGTAGGGCGTTTTTGGCTTTTATAGTGGAATTTGGTAAAAAGTATAATAGTTACAGGTTAAATTTTTTCCCCATTATCCCCATGACCCTAAATAACATTTCTATGCAGTCTAAAAAGTTGTTTATAGCATTTCATTGTGTTTTTTTAATACATTTTTGTGAAATTGATTTTCCGTTTCATTTTTTTCTTTGTCTTCTATTCCATATTTTTTATATAATTGGTATGACAGCTCTACAGTATGAATATTCTAAAACCCCAGGTTGTACTGAACAAAAACAAAGTATACTGCTTGACTTTGCATCAAAAGATGACTGTTTTATGAGCAATTATACACAAAGAAAACCAGGCGAGGAAAGTTCCCCAAAATGACCCTTAACCTCTTAAGAATTCATTACTTAATAATGAACAAATATGCTTGTACTCCTTAAGACATGTTTTATTTAAGTGTTTATAATCAATCGTAAGTGATTTACACATAAATTATTAATTGTTCTTAGTTCATTATCAAATGTTGATTATTCAAATGTAAACATTATTATAATTAATAACCTAATTAATAACAACTATAATAAATACCTAATGATTGTTAAATCATTAAGAATATTGAAATTCACATTTACTACTCATTACATAAGTGTTTCCAGCTAATGAACAATGATTAGGTGATATGTTAAATATTCATCAACATAAAAATATTATGATCTACATAGTATCAATCATGATAGTATCAGTATTTAAAGTCATTTACTAAGTAGTCATATCATGAACTACTCAGAAACAGAAAATATACAACACATTTTTCAATGTTTTATTAAATTTAATTACAAATCATAACATTATATATTCATTAACAAATGATTATTAAAATATTTCAGGGTAATGGAATGCTCATATAAACAAATCATGTACAATATTTGTACGAATCAATATATGATTTGTACCGCGATGACCCAGGTTGTGTGTGAGATAAGAAAAACACACGGCTCGGAACATCTAAGGCAATGGAGGTCGGATAGAGCACCACAATGGCTCACATAGATACAGCAGTCATCTCAGAGACAGTGACCGACCCCAGAGCACAACTCTGGCCCCCACCCCCGGCGCGATCCAGGGGCCCACAACTTCAACCCAGGCGCAGGTTGGAGCTCGCTGCCCGGACTAATGGCCGATCCTTTTCCCTATCGAGCTGAACTCGACTTGCCTGTCCCGCAGCGGCGCAACTGCGCTCCAACTCCCACCAAAAAGGAGCCCCGTGGACCATCGCGCCTCAAGCCACCTCTGGGCTTCCCGGGACCGATCCCCGCTCCCTGCTCCCGTGTGTGGGAAAGACTGGAGTGTGTGCGTGCCCGCTCTCCGTGCGCGAGGAAGACTGAAGTGATTGTCCCGCCTGACCCAAACGGGTGTAAAGCATCTTCACTTTTGGGACTTGGCAGTAACAGTAAAGGGGCGTTCACACCGGACTTAACTTCGGCGTCAAAAGCGTCAGGTTTCCATTGAAAGTGAATGGTGAAGCGCGTCAGGTAAAGCCAAGAGCCCCGGCGTCACTTGACGCGCGTCAAAAGCTTCAAGAGTCGCGCGTACTACGCGCTCACTTGAAGCTTTTGACGCGCGAAACGCTCGCGTATCACAACAATCTCTTTGACGCCGAAGCTGAGCAAAGCTGAGCTTTTGAAGCTTTGACGCGGGCTTCAACCAATCAGGAGACGAGGAGCAGCAGCAGCAGAGGGTCTGTCTCTGTCATGAAGAGAAGTCATGTATCTGCTGCTGCTGTTTTATTGTCATTATTGTTATTAGTAATATTATTTGTATGAGTAGTAACGTTCTGAGTAACAAAAACCATTGTACACATGCTGTGTAGTAAACCTAGTTTATTTAAAATAAGAACAGGCTGACGATGAGTCTGGCTCAGAGCAAGGCAGCTCCGGGCGGGCGAGAGCCGGGGAGAGGCAGGGAGAGGCGAGCGAGAGCCGGGGAGAGGCAGGGAGAGGCGAGCGAGAGCCGGGGAGAGGCAGGGAGAGGCGAGCGAGAGCCGGGGAGAGGCAGGGAGAGGCAGGGAGAGGCAGGGAGAGGCAGGGAGAGGCAGGGAGAGGCGAGAGCGAGAGCGAGGCGGGGAGAGGCGAGAGCGAGAGCGAGGCGGGGAGAGGCGAGAGCGAGGCGGGGAGAGGCAGGGAGAGGCGAGCTCCGGGGTTTGAGAACTCAGACTGGGCGAGTGACATGCGGATGTACCGCTGAAAGCGAAACTCCTCCGTACGCAGCTCCTGGAGTAAATGACGGAACTCTGCAAACACTGAAGCCTCTCAAGTCTGTGGTGAACCCAGAACATGTTTTGTTGAAGCCCTACAACAACGTTATTTTGCTTTATATAACAAATAAAGGCTCGCTGCTCATTGAAAAATCCACCGCTGTCCTGACTACAGGCAACAGAGAAGCTCCTCCCACCGGCGTCAGGCGCGTCACTCGCGTCAAAAGCTTCAAGCCCCAAAATGACAAAACTATCCCGGCGTCAGTTGAAGCGCGTCAAAAGCTTTTTGAAGCTTTTGGTCTGAACGCGCCTTAAGACTTGCTGGAGTTGTATTGTGTGTGATGGTGATGTGTTTCTGACATTCCTGTTCATGTGACTTATCATACTTGTGTGATCCCTCCCGGTTACCGTTCACGTTCTATATGTAGTTAATAAACCCACGCTAACTTTTAAGAGTCGTCAGTATATACTTTGTATAATTCATGATATCCCTGGCCGATATAGAGCTCAAGGCCTATCAGATTATGAGACTGATCGAGGCAGAATGGATCTGTGCAGACTTTTCTGCTGGTGCCCCTCTTACTTAAAATTTAGATCCATTCAACCCGGAGTAGGCGAGGCTTAGGACTACGTTTGCGGCGTTTAATACCGACACAAACTGATACAAAGCCTCCCCTCTCCACATACAATTTTCATACCCTACAATACATTAGTTATAACTTCTAATATTAACAGTGTACGTTCATGTTCACTACTCATTAGTTACTCTTTTTCCAAACAGTATTATAAAGTGGAGACTGTTTGTCCACGCCATAAACCTTTTCTGTAGCAACTAAGAACGCCTCATTCACACCAACTAGTCACAGTAAGGTTACAGCCAAGAATAGTGAAGTGTCTCTAGTTGAAGCATTAAAAGAATCTTTGATAATGTCTAGACTTCCTTCTCCAGAGCCTTTTGTGTTCACTGGAGATCCTTTTGAAGTTCATTGAGTGGAGTACATGTTTTAAGGCTCTTATTGAGACTAGTTGTGCAGATTCAGCCCATAGATTGTTCTATTTGAAGAAATACATAGGCGGAGAAGCGCTCAGTGTCCTAGAGGGAACATTCTATCGTAGTGACGCCGAAGCCTACTCTCAGGCTTGGGAAGCTTTGTTTTGCTGTATGGAGTGGAGGCTCAACGACCTGAAATGGGTTAAAAACACTGACCGAGTCGTTAAGAAAGCTCGTCAGTGGCTCTTCTTTTTGCAGAAACTTAGAGAATTTACCACTAACTCTAAGATTCTGCTTAACTTTTATCGCTGCACCATTGAGAGTTTACTTGTTGGTTCTGTGTCTGTGTGGTTTGGAAACATCACAGATAAAGAAAAGAGAGCTTTAAACAAGGTGCTCCGCTCTGCAAAGAGGACCGTGGGCTGTGAGCTTCTTGTTCTGGAGGTTCTTTATAAATCCAGACTTTTAAACAGAGCTCTTAAAATCATCAATGACTCTTCTGGCCACCCTGGGAAAGCCATGTTCCAGCTTCTTCCCTCTGGCAGAAGATATCGGTCGCTGAGATGCAAGACATCTCGTTACGCTAACAGCTTCTTTCCACAGGCTGTTAGGTGCCTAAACAGAGCACTTTAATTCCTGCTTTTACCCCTTGTATCGTTTTTGTTGATCGGTGCCACAGTGTCAGCTGTTTTTTTATTCTTTTATTTTTAGTGTATGTGTATTTTATATTACATTGTATCAAAGCAAAGGAAGGTTTCTCACCCATCATCTGTACTTCTTAGCAAGTATTCCCGACGTTTCGTCCTCAACCTAGCGGACTTCTTCAGGGAATGAATTCTCGGACCGCGCGTTGGAGATTTATAACCTATGGGTGTGGTAAGCCACACCCTAATCCTGATACTAACTCATAAACAATCTAAGGTCTGCTTGATGTAGAAGGGAGCAGGTCTAACGACCCTGCTGAGGCTAACGACCCTAACTCCTTAGCATGTCACAGACCTATTGTCTGCTGGGATGCTCAAGTGGAGTGCAGGTCTCACCCCTCCTAACTCATTAGCATGTCACTGACCTTGTCCCAAGTTAGGGCGTTGTTTTTAGGATGTCGTCATAGATGCGAGGCAAAACAAATCTTAACCCTCCTCCTCTGTTAAGAGAAGGTTTTTGTTTCCTCACAAAAATGGCTTCTTTCACCCCTCTCTCAAACCAATTCTTCTCCCGAGCCAGAATTTTAACCTCTGTGTCATCCACCGTGTGGTTGGAGGCCTTGAGGTGGAGATGAACAGCCGACTGTGGCCCACTAGAGTTTTCTCTACGATGTTGGTAAAGTCGTTTCTGTAGAGTTTGTTTGGTTTCTCCAATATAGTGGTCAGTGCACTCCTCTTCACTACATTTAATTGAATACACCACATTGCTCTGTTTGTGTTTGGGTGTTTTGTCTTTGGGATGCACTAATTTCTGTCTTAACGTGTTGAAAGGTTTGAAATACACAGGGATTTTGTGTTGCCTAAAGATTCTTTGTAGTTTCTCTGAAACTCCCGCCACATACGGGAAGGACACCCCTCTCCTCCTACTTTCTTCTGTCTGTTGGACTGTGTCTCTGGCCTTTCTCGTCCTTTGGGCTTTAGTAAAAGACCACTTGGGGTAGCCACATCTGGAAAGTGCTCTCTGAACATGTTTGGTTTCTCTGTTCTTTCCTTCCGAGCTTGTGGGGACCTGGTGGGCTCGGTGTTGAAGCGTTCTAATGACCCTGAGTTTGTGTTGTAGCGGATGGTTTGAATCAAAGGCCAAGTACTGGTCAGTGTGAGTGGACTTTCTGAAGACCTCAGTCTCTAATTGTCCGTTCTCCAGTATGATGACCTTACAATCTAGAAAGGCGAGTTCACTCTCCTTAGCATCCTCGCGAGTGAAATTTATAAAAGGGTCCACCGAGTTAATGTGTGCTGAAAATGGTTCCACTTCCTGTTTCTTTAACTTAACCCATGTATCGTCTACATATCGAAACCAATGGCTTGGCGCTGTCCCTTTTGTGACATGTGACCAGAATGCTGGATCAAGGAAAGGAATATCCAGGATTTGCTGAGTTTGTGGCTGAAGAGGTTTGCATTGCATGCAACCCAGTATCATCACTGTTTGCTTTGAAATCTTTTGAAAAACCAGATAAGGAACACAGACGTGTAAAAGTCAGTGTCCTAGCCACAACGAAAGGAGTTGAAGAAGTCACAGAGCAACAAAGGTTCTAAAAGTAACTGCTCCATGTTCAACAGCAAAAGACAGATTGAGTGTATTTGTTGTAAACAAAACCACTTCATATATAAGTGTGAAAAATTCACTTAAATGCAACTTGAAGAAAAGAAACAGTTTATCATGGACAATAACATGTGTTTTGGCTGTCTGAGAGTTGGACACATATCTAAAAACTGTCGTCAAAGAGCAACTTGTAATATTTGCAGGAAAAACCATCCCACTCCTCTGCATTTGGAGATGCCCTTACCTTTCAAAGAACGTCCCCAGATTCCTAATAACAAGCAGCTCGCAGTAATACGCCTAAAACATTTGAAATAAAAAATGGAAAGGAATCCAAAGTACAAAGAGGATTATGTGAGATTCATGGATGGTGTGTTTAAAGATGGTGATGCAGAAGAAGCAAGCAACACATCTGAAGATGGTAACAAGTAGTATATACCTCACCACGGGGTGTATCACCCAAGAAAGCCAGAGAAGATAAGAGTTGTGTTTGACTGTTCTGCTCAAAGTGAGAGCACTTCTTTAAATGACCATCTCCTCACAGGTCCAGACTTGACCAACACTCTTTTAGGAGTGCTTTGTAGATTCCGTCAACATCAAATAGCCATCACTTGTGACGTGGAGAAAATGTTCCATCGCTTTCATGTCAACCCAGAAGACAGAGACTTCTTAAGGTTCTTGTGGTGGCAGGCTGGAAAAACAGACACTGAACCCAAGGAATATCGAATGCGAGTGCATATCTTTGGTGCAGCATCTTCGCCAGGATGTGCAAACTATGGCATGAAGTTTCTTGCTCATGAGCATGAAAAGGACTATCCAGCAGAGGTGGGACAAAGTCATTGTTTAGCAAGTCACAAGTCAGTCTCAATTCATTGCCCTCAAGTCCCGAGTCAAGTC